CTCGCGTTCGTCTCAGTCTCGGCATAGTTGAAGGCCGAAATCTTCGGCTGCATATGGTCAAAGCGCACACGAACGCCCAAAAAAATCGAGAACGAGCCATACCTACAACAGCGCGCAAGCAAAGGAGGAAGAAAATAGAACACAGGAAAGAGCGCTGACTCCCAACTTATGTATTGTGAAAGAAAGAGAAAGAGGAAGCTTCGGACACTGATTTTTTGCACCAGACTGTATGCGCTCTATATTTTGCTAGCTTTATTTTTTCCTCTTCCCTGTCCTCTGTTATCTCACTCCCCATCCCCACGCAGAGTAGCCAACCGAGACTTCTTCGGTTAATTTCTGTTTTTTCCTGATCATTAAATGAATGAATGAAGCCCACGCGCACACAGAAGGTATAAAGAAGAAAGAATAAAAACATATAAATTACTAAGTTACTGTAGAAAAGGAGAAAACTGACATTATAAGGTCACGAAGAAAAAAAAAGATGAGAAAAAAAAGAAAAAAGAAAAACAACAAAATGGGTTTCATATCTGAAGCTTCCTCTTTCTCTTTCTTTCACAATACATAAGTTGGGAGTCAGCGCCCCTTCCTGTGTTTTGTTATCTTCCTCCTGTGCTTGTGCACTGTTTTAGGTATGTCTTCTAAGTACGAGCTAGCTCAACTCTCTATGTTACTACGAGAACAAGCGCCAAATTAGAGCGCTACGGATTGGATTGTTTCGGCTACACCCGAAGCCGGATGGCCGAACGAGTCGAGGCCGATCCAAGGCCAAAAGAAAATGGCGGAAGAGAAGGCTCCCGCGCGCGTTCGCTTCTCGATCGACGATGACATTTATGTGCGTACGCCACTAACCCATTCCAGGATTCCAGGAGATGGACTTCAACTGCCGAAAGGGTCTCCGAAGCAATCGGAAGAAATTTCCCCACGCGGGCCATCCGCGACCGGGTCGACCTGCTGCTGGCACAGTTTAATACTTACTGATTACCAGCTGAACGTAATGAAAAGCGACGAAGAGAGAAAGAAACAAACTGCTGGTAACCAACCGGCTCAGCTACAGGTCATCACCAGTTTAATACGAAGCACAGATTTCCCGGTGACTTTTCGTAACGTAACGTAAAAAAAAAAAAAAGAAAAAAAAAAAGAAACGGGTCTGTGTGAACGAGCCTTTAGCCGCGGAGTAGCAATACGTCACCACGTCAACAGTTACGACGTATGTTTAGGCTTAGGAACGGCCAGAATCAGGTACGATCTTTAAAATGGGGCGAGCCCACCGCTCATTCTTTGTGACTTGAGCGAAATTAAGCAAAGCGAAAGCCGCTTGCACTATTCATTGGCAATGAAATTGGCTAATACTGAAGCGACCATGACGAATTAGCACCGAAGCGAGCGAAAAGGGCGCCGCCATGTTTGCCGATACAACCCGGCCCCAAGCAAATTGGGGGCCCCACGTTATTTCTCGAATTTCACGTTGGGGGCGCGAGCCAACTCGAAACCCCAAACGGAGTTTGGGTTCTACGCAAGCGCAGTGCTGAGCCCCTATTTCTTTGGGGCCCCAAAGCTTTGGAACCCGGGATTATAAAACTCTCTATAACTGTCGTGCTGCTTGAGCTACAGGATGAGCTAAAAGCAAGCTACACCTACCAGTGTCGTGCCTGTGACCGGGGAATGGCCCGTTCAGTTCGCAGATAATTCCATTGGCGCACATGATAGCCTGGTATTTGAGGGCGTGCACTCTCTTGTGACCAGAGAAGTAAATCTTCTGATTCAGAGACGGTCGGCAGATGGGCCTTGCTGTGCCGTTCCAACTGGTGTTACCCTCCCTATTATTTGAACCGCAAGCCACAATAAAGTGTTGTTTCGGCGCAAACGTTTTGCGTTTTAATAAGTTTTCACTGTTAAGAAGTTCGCTCGTTGTCCACAATGGCGCTGCATGCGAAAAAGGCGAGCGTGCCGCGTTGCGTCGTCACAAACCCTAGTCTATAAGCACGCTGCGTGAGGTGTCGTTGCGTTGGGTTCCCCAAAGCGTTGGGTTACTCAAAGCGTTGGGGCCCCCTATTCTAAAACTCTCTATTATCTCGTGTCACCCATTGATTACCGCTCGAAATGTAGCTTTCCTCTGATAACATATTCACATAGTCAGTATTGTTCTGTTTTCTTTTGCCAGGTGGTTTGTTTCAATTTTTACTTTCCGTCTTTTTATAGTATTTAGTACCTGTACGTCAATTCCGCTTCTAGGCCGCGACCCATGAGCTCTTTGCTCAAGAATACACCTTAACTGCACGAACTCTCGCTTGTCAGAAGCAGCCGCCAAAGGAACTAGACTATCTCGATATGTCTCGTAAGGTGCGTGCCTACAAGGTTCGGCTACAAATGCGCTGGTTTTTGGTGGGATAGTTACAGTATGAGTGACCGTCTGGCCGGCACTTCGTTCGTCTACCTGCTGCTCCCCTCATGATTTTTTTTTTTTCCGAAAATCGAGATTTTAGTTGTTGCCTTTCCGGCATTTCGCCCTCGGTGGTGGGCTTGTGCTTTCTGGCGTGTCTTGCCTGCAGGTTTAGAAAAATGATCAGTATACAGTGGAAATCGCAGCTATTCAGTTTTAACTCCACCTTGAAATAACGGCGCCCTCTTCACTCTAATTTCAGATATGGAAGAAGGAAAGGACAACAAGTGGATAGTTTTAGCTGGAGAAGAAGAGTTGAAATATTCAAGCGGCGACTGAACGTCGCCTTTTGAAACAATGTCTGTTTGCAAGGTTTTCGGAAGGGTGAGGCAGGGCTTGTTAGAAAGAACTACACGCGCAGCGCTAACGGCCTGTCCTTGGCACAGGCGTGGGAATGTTAACATTTTAGATCCAAGGCATATGTAAATTATGTTTTCTAGGCGGTGGACATGAGTGACAATGCGAGCAGGTAGCAGCGGGACTCAAGCAAGGTTGTTTTTTTATTGACAGTACTTTCAAATAGTAAAGGAGACGAGCTACTCTTTAGTTATCTAGCATTTTAATAATGAACTTACCCCGTTAAAACGAAAACAAATCGAACGCGTTACTTGTGATATGTGACTCTCAATAGTGCGATAGTGAATACACCATTAAATACTGCAGGGCAAATCTGCCGCAATTACTGAAAATCACTAATGAGTTAGTCGCTAAACATTGCTTTTACCTACCCCTTTAAGCTACAATCTCGCGCTCTTTTTCCATTTTAAAGGGGCCCTGCAAAGGGCTTCTTTGTTTTCCCTGCTTGTTCTTCACTTTCGACATTGTTCCTCTTAACACAGCGGCATATTTTTTCACATATGGAGTCCAATAAGGTTTTAGAGCGCAGCTCTTAGGGGCCCGTTTCCGGCTTGAGCGGCGTCGGCGTCGCCGTCGGCGTCGGCGTCGGCGTCGGCGTTGGCGTAACCGCGCGGTGCATCATGGGAAATGTCCCATAATGCACCGCGCGAGCCCCCCACCGGAGCCACGTGACCTCGTGGGGGGCACGTGACCCCCCCGAGGTCACGTGACCCCGGTGCATCATGGGAAATGTCCCATAATGCACCGCGCGAGCCCCCCACCGGGGTCACGTGACCTCGGGGGGGGGGGGGGGGGCACGTGACCCCCCCGAGGTCACGTGACCCCCCGAAGTCACGTGACTCCCCTGAGGTCACGTGACCCCCGCCGATGTCGCGTGACCCCCAATGACGTCATCGTCACTGATGACGTCACCGGCATCCACATCGTCATCGTCACTGATGACGTCACCGGCATCCACATCGTCATCGTCATCATCACTGATGACGTCACCGGCATCCGCATCGTCATCGTCATCATCACTGATGACGTTACCGACATCCGCATCGTCATCGTCATCATCACTGATGACGTCACCGACATTCGCATCGTCATCGTCATCATCACTGGTGAAGTCATCAGTGACGTCACTAATGACGTCATCGGCACCCTCATCGTCATCGTCACTGATGACGTCATCAGTGACGTCAGTGATGACATCATCGGCATTGGGGGTCACGTGACCCCCCCCCCCAGTACCCTTCCCTCCTCCTCCTCAAGAGCTGCGCTCTAATTCGTTGTTACAGGGAGTTGTAAACGGCTTTCACTTTTTGGATACCCAGCATTGTGAAGTCTTGAAATCTGTGCATCAAAGCTTTGTTGGACTTGATGGGGGCATGTCTTTTTTATGCTTGCGGAGAGGCTTGCGGAGAGGGGAGTAAATCCCAGTGCGATAAATTGAGCATCCGATTTTTGCTGACCATGCAAAGTGGATCCAAGCGTTAGTGTACACGCGGTACAAGGCAACTACTCCGACTCTGATAGTAAGCGCATGTGTGTGTGCTCTACAAACGGAAACAAAAGCGTACCCGCACAGGGTAGAAATGCAAGCTTGAAGGGATCGTGTTTTGGAAGACGCCGTCACAGTTGAAGTTGTGGATACTAGAAACAACATCATCCAAGTTCATGTTCTGACGTTGGATAAGGACAGATTTATTCTTAGCGGGTTCAACCCTGTAGTTGGGGGACAACCCTGTGGGAGGGGACACGCAGGTGTCCGTCGATCCAATTTCCCGACTGGCGGAAAGGAGACACTGCCCAGCTTATATAGGCAGAACCAAAACGAAGACGACAAGACGTCAAGCAAAAGTATATATGCTTCGACGTGTTTAACAGAGAGGTTTAGCATAGCGAACGCAACGCACTGAGTTGCAATCGAGAACTCATGTCTCCACCTCGAAGCACGGTCGTGTATGCGTCAGCGCCGACACCTGACTATGATCGATGCTAAAGCCATAAAAAAAGGAATTAACATAAAGGTGACTATCAGCTGCTTAGGATTAACTTAAACCGTACAAGCAGCTATTTTTCGGTCATTGCCACAGCAATGACATAATAATTCGTGATTTTCTACTCTATTTTTTTTAAATAAGGTCATAGTGAAGTGAAAATAAAATGAACCCAGGTTAATGAGTAATCTTTAAAGAGACAAAAACCGAGCACTCACCTGAGTAACACGTTGAGCAAGGAGGACTTGCCAGTCGTAAAGGCTCCGGCCACCGAAAGCACGACCACGGGGAGGCTCCGAACGTCCTTCTGGAGCAAAACACTTCGAAGCGCCTCAATATGCAGAGTGAGCTTGCCTTGCTTATTAACTGTAATCACGGTGACTGGTTTACCGACCAGTCGTTTGCCATCGGCTGTGGGGTCCGCACCAGCCATTGTTTCGTTCTCCTATTTAACCGCGCGCTCGAGTCTAGAGCCTTTATCGGTTGTCTAGGCAGCAAGTCATTCGCTCGTCTGAGCTCCGGTGCTTTACTTTCCAATCTGAAAGCTCGCATAGGTTTCCGCCGTTAGATAATTGAATGCTCTGGGAGAGAGAGCGAAAGAGAGAGAGAGAGAAAGATAGTGCGCCCGTGCGACCTCGTTTCGCCGTCAAACTGAGGGCTGACTGTTGAGCAGGGGGAAAAAAAAAAAGTGTGAAGTCTTGCGAAACAAAAAAAAATCGCGTCTCCAGCTGCTTGCTCGTCCTCCCGCGGCGGAAACTGGAAGCGCTCTACAATCGGTTACAAGTAGAGATGCCGCGAACTTTTAGCGAACCTGAACTTCGAAGGTCAATCCAAGGGTGTCGATTGTAGAACTTAAGCCCCGTAGCATAACTACGCGGGGGTCGCGATAGCTGTGACGACTTCTGACGACCCCAAATGTAGTCAGAAAGGACTTTCCCGCGGGCGACTGCATCGGTCACAACGGACCAGACTTGTACACGTTACTGAAAAAAATAACCGATTACAATTACAATTACTTCACTGTAAAAAGTAACCGATTACAATTAGAATTACTTCACTGTAAAAAGTAACCGATTACAATTAGAATTACTTCACTGTAAAAAGTATCCGATTACAATTACAATTACAGCCTCAAAAAAGTAATACAAAATTACTCTGAAGTAATTGATTACTTCCCACGTTACTTTTCATTCAACTTTTTTTTATTACGGTAGCATAATCCCTAGGGTCTCGTCCTCAGCTGTTCTGAAAAAAAAATAGTTCTGATTGTTTTTGCCAAGAGCTGAGTGAGTGGCGCCAAGACACCCAGTCCCTTTTGTTAAAAAATAAATAAATAAAAAGCGCTGTCTAGATACATTATTAACAAGAGGCTGGATGAAGGCATTTTTCATACCCGGGCGTTGTCTCGGTGTAGCAAAAAGAAATGTACCCAGAAAACGAAGCATAGTGAAGTGGCCTACTAATCCTCAAGATTCCGTGCAGTGGTTTTGAAAAAAGAAAAACAAATCGACCGTTGCCCAGAGCTGAGTGACTCCACCACATCTAACCCCTCCCCCCCCCCCCCCCCCCCCCGCCAAAAAAAATGAAGAAATTGAGAAAAATTGTAATGGGTAACTTTGTAATCGATAACAGCAAAAAAGTAATTCAATTACAAGGATCGTTACTCCTTAGGGGAAGTAATTGAACCGTTACAAAATTACAGTAAAATTTAATCGATTACAATCAATTCATTACTGGCAACGCGTTACGCAAAAGTCTGCAATGGGCACAAGACCACTCGACCGCGGCGGCAGGTTCACGTGGTCCGCAATGACTCGGTGTTGGGACAAGCTTTCGCAGCGCAACCTGTTCGCTCCAGTGTCGATCACGGCGCCGTTCTCTACGACTACGTTTTTTTTGTTTTTTTTTTAGTGTACAGACGGTCGGAGGTTTTTTTCGCTTTGTAAAGCAAAATAGGTGGCTACTTTCGGCTCAACTCACAGCTATACTTCGTTACACCTTAAGTCCAGACGCAGCCGCCGTTACGAGCTGAAATAGACCAAACAGACAGTGTCAAAAATGCACCATCATGGGTTTCATCTTGTTTTTGAGCGCGTTCCATCATTCCTGAACCAATCATAAACGGGAAATGCCTAGTGACTTTCGCTTTTAACGTTGCTTTACTGGTCCCATTAAGAAGTTGCAGCGTCGGCTGCTTCTGGAAGTAAGCTGAAACGAAGTATAGATACAGTGTAGGTCAGGCTGCAGGTGACTCTGAAGACACAGTGAATTGGACTCCGCAGCAGACGATCCTTGCAACTGTTTTCCAAGCCAAAGTTGAATCAACACAGTATTAGGCAGGTGGGCAGAATGTTTTGAGTAAACAGTGGAGCTGCCTTGAGCATGCCTAGCCATGACGTAGATTATCCATGCAAAATCCGTTAGACTATTTCGGTTTCGTGGCGATTTTGCATCACCGCTAGACACGTGCGTTTACCGTGTACCCTACCAATAGCTTCTTCTAACTTTTGACACATTGACGTACTGAGCTCAGCGCAATACGATGAACTCATCAAAACCTCCAAACAACTGAGGTAAAATAACATTTCATACATATCTGCGAAATTATCGAAAATTAGTTAAGCTTTTAGTTTCCCCGACATGTATCCACTATTCTGTTCTTAGCATGTAAACTTCAAACTAAGTAATACTTCCCGCCCCCCCCCCCCCCCTTTTCCAGCAATGTCAGGGTAGTTGTGCAACTATCTTTAAGGTACATCTGAAATATTTAATTAATTTATGTGCTATTCTTAACGTAGCATAAATCGGCAATTTGTTCCATCAGAGACACTGAAAGAAGTAAGCAAGTTACGAACCTGCTTTAAAATGTTTAACACATTTTACTGCTTCTAAACTTTGTTCCAGGTTGCTGTTTTTTTTGTTTTTTGTTTTTAGATTTGTCAAATTTGGTCGGAAACTCCGTTAGTGGGATGTTGTGTCGTGTGCATTGGGCATATTTTAACAGTTGTGCACACCTTTACCGATGTACAAATATTCCTTCGAAATATTGTTGCCACGATTAGTACCTATTTGTATATATTAGTTGATACTCTTTGTGATAGGAAAGAAAATGAATGCAATTGTGAAAGTATTGGTGTACCGTTTATCCATTCCTTGACGGATGCCATCCGCATCTCTATTTCTGTCAATTTAAATTTTATATTATATTATTATTACGAGCACGCTCTCCTTTCCAAGTTTCTATTATTTATTGTTCATTTCTGTCAAATTCAATGTGGGAAGTGACAAATGCAGGTACTGATATTTTTTTTTTGTCTCTTTGTTATTGGAGTATCTAGGTTTTTTTCAGTGCGTAATTGGAATGATTATAAAACAAACACTAGTTTTCTCTCCGTTAGTTTTTAAAAATCCTCAGATAATGAGGAACACAAGCAATTATCTCACTTTTATTGCTCAGAAATGTACTTGAGTGAAAATACAAAAAAAAAATATATTATTTTCATTTTGTTTTTATTCATACCTCACAAGCGGCATACAGGGGGGGGGGGGGGGGGGGACTTTAACAGCCCGAAAGTAAGCCAAAACGTGAACGAGTGTAAAAATACGTACAAAACACTCAGGTAAAAGTAGAAAACTAAACATAAAGAAAACACGTGGCACATAAACATACGCGTAAAGAACACTCTGGAAAAGTACAGAAATAAAAATAAGGGTAACCGTGACACACGAACATACAAATCAGTTCACATAGTACAAAGCGCGCGCATATTTAAATTCGTCAAAGTTTTTAAGAACTATAACATCGGCAGGTAGTTTGCTCCAATCGTTTGCTGCCAACTGTGACGGAGATGTTAGGAAAAGTTTAGTGCGAGTTGCTCGTAGTAATATTTTATTTTGGCGATCTAATCTATGAAAAATACGATGTGGCGGTGTAGCGTTACGCCCCGGCTCGGGCCAAGGACGCCAAAGAGAGTCACGCTCCTAAGACAAACACAAACAGCCCCCTCTTTATTCGTTATCCTTACATATATACCGCTGAGCGCCTGCCAACAGGCTGCGATATTTCTAGGATACTAGGTTATCGTTAGTCAACCCGTCGTGGGCTTGGACTGTGACTCAGCGGCGCCTGCGGCCGCCGGCTGACAAGAAACCCCGTGAATCTCGAGGCGGCAGCGCCCACTCGATAACTCGAGCCGGTCGCATTCACTGGTAACATTACAGGCAGCTTGAGAAGGTCAAGACCCAGAAGTTGATTGTTATAATAGATGTTATGGAGAAAGTTTAGTACCGAATGGTTTTCTTCTGGAAGATAGGAGTGGTAAAGCGGCTTCACTTTACAGCTGGGGTACACTCGTGTATCGATAAGAATCTTTAAAAATAAATCTAACGACCTTGTTTTTGGATTGGTTAAATATTTTTAATTATACACTCTAGAAAATGCCCATGCGTCTGCTTTCCCGCACAACACTTGGAGAGCCAATCACGACAACTTACGGAGGCATTTCAGAGAATGACGATGCGTCATTCGCTGAAATGCCTCTGTAAGTTGCCGTGATTGGCATTCCGAGTGTTGTGCGAAAAAGCAGACGCGCATTTTTTTTTTTTTTTTAAGAGTGTATGGTTTTGTGAAGAATTCTGTATGATAGGTGCATATTCAAGCTTGGGCCGTATATATTTATTGTAAGCAAGTAAGTGAACGTCTGGAGGAGCCCAATAAAAAAAAATTTCTCGTAAAGTTTGATGTCTTTCTAGATTTGCTAGCCATGTAATTTACATGGTCTTGCCAATATAGTTTGAAGTTAAAAATGACTCCTAGGTATTTGTAAATATTTACTTTCTCAATGGATAGATTGCTTATTGCGTCGTTGAATGTTACGATGGACGTTTTTGTAGCGATTGTCATGAGTTTTATTTTGAGATATTGATATTCATTTTCCAATGATCAAACCCCAACGAAAGAGTTTCTCAGGGCCGGTTGCACCAACGCCGCTTACCTTAACCCAAAACGGCTCTTTCCTAAGTCGGCTTAGCGCCCGACACCGAGCTCTGATATGCACGGGTTTAAATTCTGGTTGCGCCAACACTAAGCCGAGTTTACGGACGCCCCCCTAGCTAAACGCTGGATTTGAGTAGGGAATCTAGGGACAAACAGAGCGAACTAGGGAACGCTCAGAGGGACAAATACGGTTGGCAAAAAGGAATCACGTGATGTAAAAAAAAAAAAACTGCCGTGGTACCCGTCATGGGGGTCTGCTTTTCGCTGTATTTCTTCGGTGAGTAACGAATTAAAGGTCTCCAAATTCAATCATTTATTTCACCTAACTTTCAAAAAACAGAATCAAAGCTTTAAATAAACACAAATGCTCTTTAAATCTGTGATTGTGTGTTTAATACCGGTTGATAACAGAATATTTTGACAGTGACAGTAGTTTTCGTGCTCACATTTTGAGATAATTAGCCATAGGGGGCCCTGAATTTCACCGAACACGAGAAGGGCGCTCTATACTCGCTATATCGCTGAAGA